ATATTATATAACTGTTAATTTTAATAAGCATTTTATAGTAGCTTTGTGAATTATCCCATCATGTTGCACTATTAAGTCTTCAAAAATTAAATATCTACATACAAATCTAGCGTTTCCTATTATAAAAAAAAAAAAAAAAACGAAAGTTCTGTGAGAAAGAGTAACTAATAAAACGATACAAATCACTATAGTAGGTGACATTTTTAGTAGGAAAAAATTCATGACCAACATTTGTAAGCCTAATAAGAAAGTTTTTCATTTATAATTCAGTTCGATGCCAATAAATAAGATAAACAAATAACATAGTTTAATATGTAATTTATTTACTATATACTACTCGACATAATGATGAACCAAAATCAATAATTTAATATTCAAGCTTTGACGAATTGGGAATATATGATACGACTGCTGCCATTGATTTTATCTTAAACAAAACTGGATACTCTACACTACACATGGGTGGTTATTCTTTTGGAGCTACCATATGTCTGATTGCACTAGCCGAAAGACCAGAATACAACAAAAAGATTGATAAATTAGTGCTAATAGTGCCCACGGCAAGAATGAAGTACTACGACCGAAGGCTTATAATTTTCAAGATATTTCCCTATTTATTCCATGTAAGTACCATTAGGTAATGCGTTTTTGGTACAAAGAATTTACGTTTAGATGTTTTCATAATAAAAATATTTTACTTGAAAATGGTTGAAGTATTCAACTATCTATCAAAATGTATCTTTTACAGTTTTACAATTTTTTTTGCTTTGAAATCAACAAAATCATTTGATTATTTGTTTACATCATTTTTAAATGTATAGTTCTTACTTACATAATTACATAAGTAAATATGTTTATTGTTCATAATTGCATATTAATACGATTAAAAAACTATCCATATATTTCAACATATTTTTTTTATTTGTAAATTATAAGAGACCTTTAAGAGGTAGAGGATACATACCTAAGATGAAACATCCAGACGATCAATGGCTAGGACGCCAATGTAAAGAGAAGAAATACATGAAATATTTTTGCCTTTATGTTATGACTCAAGTACAAGGCAACCTTCTACCAATAAATTACGTACGTAACTCTGTCTTTAAATGTTGATGAAAACAAATCGAGTTGAGACACAGACTACATGCCTTACATATAGTCTGAGGTCGAGACTACTAAATAGTATAACTCAAATTATATTAATAAATTATATTTATTCGTGCCAGTCGTGCCTAATTATAATAATATATTTCATTCAAGTTATGTATAATAAATAGTGTTATAGTAATTACAATTTAAGACCATCTATATACCTGTTTCTTGAGTTGAATAAAATGTTCCTAAATAAATGTTGGATCATCAGAATATATATTTACTAAAAAGTGTAAAAACACATCACACGACCTCACCCTTAATTATAGTAAAAATAATTGTTTTATTTTTTTTTAGGATACCATTGAAATCCTGMGAACATATCCTCAGCCAACATCTGTTAAGGTTATGACTCACTATTACCAACTTATACTTCAGAGTAAGCACAATTCATTGTTTTTAATAACAAATAACAAATAAATAATAAAGATACATAATATCATGAGTTCTGTGAATAAGTAGTAATSCACAAATACTTATTTCAATTTTGTAATATACTTGTAAGTATGTAATCGTAAAGCTAAGCAGATAGCTATTTAATGATAATTGTATACCGAATACATATCATATCGTTTAATTATCATAAAATTTTCAGATTACTTCCGAAAGTATGACTATGGAAAAATTGGAAATATGAAGCATTATAACTCCAGTACTCCGCCTGATTATGATTTATCTAAAGTGACAGCGGCGACATATGTGTATCAATCAAAACATGATATCATTGCTCCRCCTAAGGTATGRATATTAAAACAACAGTTATTTTAAATTTTAATAACTATTTAACCTGTATATACTTGATAAATATTATTATATAGTTCATCTTATTTTATGAAACGTTATTTTTGAATGAATAACACTTATAAATGTTTACATTATTGTGAACTCTTCATTTTAGCTAACCCATGATAGTTGAAACGAGACACGTGACTGAGTTTGCGGAACGGAGAACCTATTCCTTGCCAAAAATATACAGTTCTACAAATTCAGATATTCCAATATTTGTTTTAAATAAAGTGTTGATTTCT